GACATGCCGAATGTTACAGTAAAACGCTGCAATGTCCTCAATCCTGCATCTCTTCTCCCCACTCCGGAGGATGGAGAGGAGCATAATTGTTTGGCTGAGCTGGAAGCTCAGTGCACACCTCGACCAGACCTCGCAGACACACCTCTGCTCAACAGTGACGTGGTAATGTATGTTGACGGATCTGCTTCACGGGATCCCCTGACTGGTTCTAATCTTGTGGGTTTCTCTGTTGTTTCAGACTCAACTGTTCTGTGTTCCGGCCCTCTTCCATGTCACCTCTCAGCCCAAGCAGCAGAATTAATCGCGCTGACAGAAGCTTGTAAACTAGCTAAGGATAAAACGACAACCATTCACACTGATTCCAGATACGCTTTTGGCGTGGTTCATGATTTCGGCGCGCTGTGGAGACACAGAAATTTTCTCAAATCGGATGGCAAACCAGTGTTACACCACACTCTGATAGCAGAACTATTGGATGCCATTTTGTTGCCCACAGCTATTGCCGTTTGTAAATGTGCAGCGCACACATCCGGCACAGGCGACATCGCAAAGGGGAATGAGCGAGCAGACTTAGCTGCAAAAGCGGCTGCTAGACGTCCTCTTCCCAAACCATCACGCCCAGTTCCTGCCATGTGTTCTCTTCCCTCCTCTCTTGCAGCCGTGCAGTCCCTCTCTACTTCAGATGAGAGACGTTTTTGGTCCTCCTCAGGCTCCAAATTCATAGACGGCATCTGGTATGGTCCAAATGGTAATCCATGCTTACCTAAACATTTCTTCCCTCACTATGCGAAATTGACTCATGGGTTAGACCATGTGTCAAAAGGGGGAATGTTAAGTATCATTGATGCAACATGGTTCACAAAAGGTTTTGCAGCTTACGCACAAAGGTTCTGCCAAGCATGCATAACATGTGCAACTCACAATGTAGGTCGTTCAGTACAGGTGTCACATCATGCAGCACATCCACCGCCTGCAAGACCGTTTGAACATGTAATGATGGATTTTGTGGAACTCTCCCCATCGGAAGGTAAGAAACACTGTCTTGTAATGGTAGACATGTGGTCCAAATGGGTTGAGGTGTTTCCCTCCAGTAAGCAGACAGCCTCCACAGTGGCTAAAGCCTTGATTTCAGAGATCATTCCCCGCTGGGGAATCCCAAGCAAAATTTCTAGCGACAATGGTTCACATTTTGTCAACCAAGCAATCACAGAATTAAGTGCATACCTGGGTATTGACTTAAAAACACACTGCGCATACCATCCAGCTAGTGGAGGAGCGGTAGAGAGAGAGAATGGAACATTGAAAACAAAACTGGCCAAATGTTGCACAGACACAGGCCTACCGTGGACAAAAGCACTGCCCTTGGTTCTGATGTACATGCGGATGAGGAAACGAACACGCAGCAACCTAAGCCCATTTGAAATCCTTTTCGCAGTTCCTCCCCATATAGGTGTGGAAGCTCCAGGAACACCACTCCCTTCCACCACAATGTGCGAGAATGACATGTTAACCTATTGCATTCGACTGTCTTCCACTTTGTCTGATGTAAGAAAACAGGTTGTAGCTGCACTTCCAAGAGAAGCAACAGGTCCACTACACCGACTGCAACCAGGTGACTTCGTGGTGGTGAAGGACTTCAGGAGGAAAAGTTGGAAAGCTAAACGGTGGCAGGGTCCATTCCAGATTCTCCTGGTCACCCAAACAGCGGTCAAGGTAGCTGAAAGAGCAACTTGGGTCCACGCATCCCATTGCAAGAAGGTTCCAGATCCAGTACCAGCAGTGGGCTCAGGCGACCCTACCTCCACAACAAGTGTCAATCCAATCCAACCGACACCACCGATCCAGTGACCACGGACGGGCAGTTGACCGACAGACACACAGTGCATTGTGATCTGTGTTGACTGTCTACAACGCGGATGCCTCACAAGAAAGAGGGTTGGCAGACTCCACATCCCAACGTGTACCTGCGGACCAACACAAGAAGAAGAACACGGCCAGGACCCCTCCACATAGACACAGTAGTCGTTTGTGCCACGACAGTTTATTCATATTATTGCTTGCTTCAGTTTCATTGTATCTCAGCATCTTTTTGTGATTCCGTAGTCAGCTATCTAAAGTGTGGTTCTCTCTTATCATGGAACGACTCTGACGATAACCCCAACAGTGACTCGGACTCCCTTGACGAGCTGAACACTAACGACTTCGACACGTACGCATAGTGACATAGTGACACACTGTCTGTGTGCATTCCTGGTGTTCTAAATGTTTTTTGTTTCACAGTAGCTTGCTAAAACAATGAGAAATAACATTCTCACAAAAACAGCTTTTACTCTTGCATTTATTAGTATGTAACGTAAATATGATTGATATAATGACCTTTCCACAATATTCTATATCTGTATTGTGTGAAAGGGGATCAAGTTCTGGTATTGTGATTTAAACATGTTCTCATTTCTTTTTTATTTCAATACTGTACACATGACATCTGGGGTGTAACGCTCAAATCCTGTGAGAAGGTTTCCAGTCTTTATCTTCTCCTAACAGATTTCTTCCTATTTTCCCATTTCGGAGGGTTTTTTTAGGGAGTTTTTGTTCTGTGGCAGGAAAAGTTTTGTGAGCGATGTCCAGATGTTCATGTTTTGTGATATTTGATGTGGTAGATATCAGATAGTAAATTTTTAGAGTAGTCATTCTAAATTGATTGCATAGTTTGTGATTATTATGTAATCAAAAGAGTGGAATGTAATGGGAAAATGATATGTGACCCTTTTAAATGCTTCATTTGTATAACCAGTTTATTAGTTGCAAGTGCTTAGATCACAAAGGCCCTGACATACGAACTGATGTCTCCCACTTGGATTAGATGTTTCCAGCGTCATAGCTGTAGAGATTGAACAAAGTGTTTGTTATGTCTATGACCACCTTTGTTTTAGCATGTTGGGAGAGCAAGGATACGGTCAAAGAGCTGACGTGTCTTACATGGACAAGGTGTTCCCAGTACCCTGGCTGTAGAGACTCAACAAGATGGTTAACGGTTTCTGTTGACGCCACCGATATCTAAGTTTAGGTATAAGAACTGCCTCGAGGGGTTGGGAGGAAAAAGGAGGGTTTTGACAGTCTACTGACCACGTAGCTGTTGTGACCCTTTTTCCCTTGCAAGGAAATAAACGGAGAAAAGACATACTTGACTCAGAGCCTTTGATTCTTACTTAACGATTGTCTGTGCAAAATCTTCCACCACATGGCCTCAATTGCCCTCCTCAATGTCTCAGTAGGAAGGCCCAGCTGCTCCACTAGATCTGCATCTATGAAGCTGACATCAGCACCAGAATCAATTAATAGATTTATCTTACGTTCGGCCTGGTGACAGGGATTCTGTAGTCTGGCTCGCTAGCAGCCTCCCAACATCTAGCAAGAGGCGAGATAATGGCCTAATTGGCCGCAGTACAGGCAGCTGTTGGTATCCCTCCGTCGCTGACCTTCCTTCTCAGTGACGTGGTGTCCTCCTAGCTGCATTGGTCCTGAGATTTGTGCGTTCTCCTCACGTGCAGAAACGTGAGTAACCCATCGGCTCGCTGGAGTCAGTCTCTGCCTCGTCTGCGGCACATTGGTTGCTTGGTGGGAACCCAAACCGTACTGTCCTGTCTCCCTCCTTCCTTCTCTACATCTGCTATCTACCTATAGTGCCAAAGCAATCAATTCCTCCAACCCGGTTCTGGATAAGAAACTAGTTCATCGTTTAATAGTTTATTTTGACACTGTTATAAAACGCGGCTTGTAACGACTCAATGGCATTCCGTGCTACACTATTCCGTCCCTGGCATAATGAAAACCAGCGCTTCGAGGATGGTCAAAAACCCTCCTCATCTTGGATGTAAACAAGCTGTAGGTATTGGAATCCAGGTAGGTCTGTTCCTAAACCCCTGATGCCCATTCCAGGGCTTCTCCCCTCAGCAACCACACGATATAGGCAATCCTTGCCTTATCGGTGTCATGCAACCGTGGTTGCAAATTAAGAACGAGTCCACATTGCATTAAAAACATTGACCCACATCCCCACCATACCTCTCGGGGGTTGCTATCCACGGTTCTCGATCGGTTGTCGTCGATAATGCGGATGTCGTAGGCATGACAACTGATGCTGGGGTGGGCGCGGGTGCTACGACCGGAGTGCTGATGTGGTTCTGAATGGCAGAAATGCTGACGGACAGGGTCCGGAGACTGGTCATTATCTCTTGCAAGGTTGAGTTATGCTGGACAATCAGGGTTCCCTGACTGGAAATTGCCTGGCGAACGGTGTCCAAGTCTGCTGGGACCATTCTCTGGCCAGATCGTTCTGTCACGGTTTGCTTGGACAAGACCGAAACGCAGAACGGATCGGTGGTGTGAAACAAAAAATGATTTATTCCATGTGCGAAACAACAACAAATAAAACACCACTAGTCCACAACTTGCTGGTTTCTGGGTTGGGTGTGATGCTGGCATGACCAAGTCAGGCAGGCCGAAGATTGGTGTGGCGAAGTCCGGCAGGGCGAACAATGGTCGTGCAAGGTCTAATCCTGTCATGGCAACCGGGGAAACATAAAAACACCCCGATCATGGCGCAGCCGCCGTGAAATTCAGGTCATTAGAATCTGCTGAAAGCACCTGTTGGAAAAGACTGCCTGCAGTGATCACAAGCATAATGGAAAAGTCTAGTTTTAGAATGATGATTCCTCTCAACGGAGAAGTCCTTGTTCAACAATGTTTCTTCAAGTGTCTTGCTTCATTCTAATATAATCAGTCGTGTTGATACTTGATGGGTTTATTTTAAACATCATAACTTCCCCAAGTGATACAGATTGTAGTCACAGAGAATGGTGCTCTCCTCTCCTCCTCTTTGCTTTAGGACCTGGTGAAATTGGGACACCTACTGTGTCCACAAACACCTCCTCCATTGCTCTGAATTGGACCTCACCTCCGGGTGAGGTGTTCAAGTTCATGTTAGAGAGGAGCAGTAATGGAGATATGAGGAATGTGTGTACATATGATAACTTTGCCGTGATATCAGAACTAATCCCAGGCACTAGCTACACAATCTCAGTCATTGCCGTCGCGGGAGACAATCAGACAGAAGGACGAGCTCACCACGTCACTGCAGTCACAAGTAATTAAATGTTGCTTTCATTTTTGTATTACAGCTGTGTGACATTCGTGGTTTTGGGAAATTGTCCCTAAGCTCTTTTTTTATGAATGAAATTCGAAGTTCATATTTTGTACATAGTTTGCAGTGTTTTTTTTGTTTGCTCTAAACGTGTTTATTATCTTTCCTCTTCTTGTGTTCATTGTGCGCACACAGAGCCTGAAGTAGTCAGAAATATCACTGTCGCTAATGTCACAACATCCTCTATATCACTGACGTGGATTAAACCAAAGGGAAACAGCTCTTCCTACAGAGTACAGTGGACTGATGGAAATATAACTCACAATAACAGTGCGAATACAACAAGTATAACCATTACTAACCTGACTGCTGGTGTACAGTATAAAATAACTGTTGCTGCAGTGACAAATGAAGGCAGTACTGAGGGACAGAACACAAGTGTTTCTCAATACACAAGTAAGTGTTTGATAAAGTCAGGTCATTCAGATCTGCTGAAGGCACCTGTTGGAGAAGACTGTCTGCAGTGATCACAAGCAGGATGAAATTCTGAGGTTTCTAGAGGAAAAGTCTAGTTGTAGAATGGCGGTTCCTCTCAGCCAGGTCTCTGGCACACCTCACAGTGGAGTACTTGAACACAACGTCCATCTGGCTGACATGTAAAAATTGAAATCTCTTCATACAGGGCCTGCAGCTGTTTGTGGCGTCATGGCAATCGGAAACCCAACTGAAATGACAGTGAGCTGGAAAGAAGCAGTGGGACTGGTGGGCTCGTACGCTGTATTGCTTTTCAGAGACAATCTCATGGTGACAAACGTCACGGGCCTGAGCAACTTTACTAAGAATGTGGGGTTTACTGATCTGATACCTGGAGTTGTTTACTGTGTGGAAGTGGTCACCACAAGTGGACCTTTAATGAACACAGCCTCAAGGGTTTGCAATGCAACTTATGAGTTACACCGACATAGTGATTTAAAAAAATTAAACGGTATATTACACAAATATTGTATTGTATATGTGCTGCATGCGTTTTCTCTTAGTGTTGGTCTATGCATTATTTATTCTTTTTTTTACAGGGCCCAATGCAGAGGCGTCAAGTAATGACGTACTAATACTTTGTTACCTTACTTAAGTTGAACTTTGGGGTATCAATACTTAGCTAAAGTGGCAGGTCTGCTTAGTCCCTCAGCTCCTTCAAATACAGATTAAAAACCTTTCTGTTTGCTGCTGCCTTCAATTGAACATTTCTGCTAGTCAGAATACTAAGACATTTTGAAATTACAATACATACAATTTATTTCTGCTTCAAATCTTTTGTCTTTTTATCCATTCAAAAGCCTATTTTTCTTTCATGTTTCAATGTATTAATATTCTTAACTGTTTATAAATCTCCTTGCTTTATGTTTGGATGTTTTCAATGGTTTAATGTGAAGCACTTTGAACTGCATTGTTGTTGAAATGTGCTGTACAAATGCCTTGCCTATTCCACAATTGAAAACATGCAAAGTTCTAAAAGTTTGTTGACTTGACCAATGCTGGCAGCATGTTTTCATACAAAATGAACGTGCAATAATTGCTTGAAGTCAAAGTATCCGCAGTCAGACGATTGCGGGCCTCAGGTGAGTCACCACAGTACATTAAGTAAAATTTAAATCTCTTTTTACAGGGCCTGCAGCTGTTTCTGGCGTCACGGCAATTGGAAACACAACTGCAATGACAGTGAGCTGGAAAGAAGCAGTGGGACTGGTGGGCTCGTACGCTGTATTGCTTTTCAGAGACAATCTCATGGTGAAAAACGTCACAGATCTGAGCAACTTTACTACGAATATGGGGTTTACGGATCTGATACCTGGAGTACTTTACTGTGTGGTAGTGGTCTCCACAAGTGGACCTTTAATGAACAGAACCTCAAGGGTTTGCAACGCAACTTGTGAGTTGTATTGTGATATTTAAAAATTGGTACATTACATATACATTGTATTGTATATGTGCTGCATGTATTTAGACCAATATTTATTTTAGTATTGCCTGTAGCGTTTAAAAACAGCCTTCAATCTCCTCTTCAGTTCCCAACCCTCTTGGCCCCATTATGGTGGAGTCTCAGACCGTGAACTCCATCAACTTCACCTGGCCCTTTCCAGAGGGCATGGACCATAACCAGGAAAACTTCAATGTGTCCAGCCATAACGGTTCCTCTCCGACCAGTAACAACTGGTATGTGCTGCAAAACCTCGAGTCTGGAAGCCCCTACCATCTCTGTGTTGTTACTGTAGGCGTGTGGCACTATGAGAGCAGTGCAGTGACCACATTCAACTACACCAGTGAGTATGATTGGGATGATTTTCATCATTTCATTTTTTCAAGTTTCTCTTAGTGTTGGTTTCTGCATTATTTATTAATTTTTTTACAGGGCTCAAAGCAGAGGTGTCAAGTAACGAAGTACAAATACTTTGTTACCTTTTATAAGTAGAAATTTTGGGTATCTATAATTTACTGGAGTATTTATTTTTCATACGACTTTTTACTTCTACTCCTTACATTTTCACACAAATATCTGTACTTTCCACTCCTTACATTTTACAAATATCCTTGTTACTTGCGGCTTGTCGTTGTTTGAAAACACACAGAAATAACACTGTCCAGATAAGTCGCGCCATCCGGAAAGAGTGAATCTGATTGTGGTTGGATGAGAAGTATAAACATTTTCCATTCAGACACCCTACTGGTTTACTCCACGATGCACCTGCAGATGACACAAATCAGAGTGACGCTGGGTGCAAAAAGTGGTTGGTGGAAGGTTCCTTTATCAGAACGGCACAAGCCGATCTCAGTTGGGTATTTAGTAACATGAACCCGCCTCCTCCTCCTCATGCAAACTCCATGTAGCGGTGGTTCAGAACCAATCAACTGTAGCTGATACTTACACCTTCCTCCATCTGACCCCTGGAACATTTGACACTTTTGATGTATTTACCGTTGGAGAAGGGGTATATTTAAGTTCAATACTGGGCCCTTCTCTTCAACATCTACATGCTTCCATTGGCTCAGATTATGGAAAACAACAAAGTGTGTTATCATAGTTATGCAGATGACACACAAATCTATATAACTATATCACCAGGGGACTACAAACCAATAATGGGGCTGTGTCATTGCATTGAACAAATCAACAACTGGATGTGTCAAAACTTTCTTCAAATAAACAAAGATAAAACATAAGTAATTGTTTTTGGTAGGAAGGATGAACGATTGAAAGTCAGCGCTGAGCTTCAATCACTGATGTTAAAAAACACAAACCAAGCTAGAAATCCAGGCGTAATTATGGATTCGGACCTCAACTTGAACAGTCATTTAAGCATGCAAAGTTACACAAGTTTGTTGACTTGATCAATGCTGGCAGCATGTTTTCATATAAGATGAACGTGCAATAATTGCTTAAAGTCAAAATATTATAAATGATCAAATAACAGATTCAATATATTTAGTCAGACCTTCACTAAGGAATTTCTAAATGTACATTAAGTAAAATTGAAATCTCTTAATACAGGGCCTGCAGCTGTTTCTGGCATCACGGCAATTGGAAACACAACTGCAATGACAGTGAGCTGGAAAGAAGCAGTGGGACTGGTGGGCTCGTACAATGTATTGCCTTTCAGAGACAATCTCATGGTGAAAAACGTCACAGATCTGAGCAACTTTACTACGAATGTTGGGTTAACGGATCTGGTACCTGGAGTACTTTACTGTGTGGTAGTGGTCTCCATAAGTGGACCTTTAATGAACAGAACCTCAAGGGTTTGCAACGCAACTTGTGAGTTACATTGTGATATTTAAAAATTGGTATATTACACACACATTGTATTGTATATGTGCTGCATGTATTTAGACCAATATTTATTTTAGTATTGCCTGTAGCGTTTAAAAACAGCCTTCAATCTCCTGTTCAGTTCCCAACCCTCCTGGCCCCATCGTGGTGGAGTCTCAGACCGTGAACTCCATCAACTTCACCTGGCCCTTTCCAGAGGGCATGGACCATAACCAGTACAACTTCAGTGTGTCCAGCCATAACGGTTCCTCTCTGACCAGTAACAACTGGTATGTGCTGCAAAACCTTGAGTCTGGCAGCCCCTACAATCTCTGTGTTGTTACTGTAGGCGTGTGGCACTATGAGAGCTGTGCAGTGACCACATTCAACTACACCAGTGAGTATGATTGGGATCGGGATGATTGGGAAGTTTCTCTTAGTGTTGGTTCATGGTTTTCATGAATTATTCATTCATCTTTTCACAAATGTAATATTTAAGTTACATATATTTTTTTAAATTGTTACACTGACTAGTTCCAAAGAAATATTCGCTATTAAGGTTCACCTTTACTGTCTAGTAACCTTGACATCTCTTAAATCTCTTTTAAACAATTAGGACCGTTGAGTGTGAACAATCTTGGGACTTCTACAGAAGAGGAGAGCATCACTGTCATGTGGGAGAAACCTGATCAATACAAGGAAAGCTATTGTTACATTCTGAGCTGGCACAGCTCAGATGAGTCTATTAGGAATACACCAATAACAGGATTTTATTCTGAAATTAATGACCTGGTTCCTGGCAAACGATACAACATAAGCGTCACCACAAAGACCGCTGATGGAACGGAAGGTGCTCCAATATGGATTTCCGTCTGCACAAGTATGAACAAAGAGCTTGTTTGTTTTGTATATTTACATATGATACTGTCCTGGAACTAAGCATGCATGAAGATCGGGGAACAATACTGTTCTTTTTGTTCCCAGTTGTGATTTTCCTGACGATCATTTCTGTTTGCCGCTATAGATGCAAGCGCAGTGATCACGGCGATGTGATGGTCCAGACACAACAATCGCTCAAGTCATCCTGTCCTGGAAAAAAAACAATGGCTTAAACTCTGGCTTCAAGGTCACTGTAAACAACGGCGAGACCGTCAACTATACACGCTCCTGCTGTAATTATACTGTGCAACTGTCCAACCTTCGTCACAAAACCAGTTACAATCTGTCTGTGGAGACTCAGAGCTGTGGATTACCCAGCCGCCCTGTGCCTCGCCTCTGCTCGACAGGCATCACAAGTAGGACATTAACTGTTCTATGAAAATAATATTTACTTGAGTGTTCACGCCTAAACCTTTACTGCTCCCTCCCCCAAAGACCCACCCATTCCAGAGAACTGTCAGGACCTTGTGGGGGTGAGAAACAAAGAATACAACAAGTTCAGTCTTCAGATCAAAAGAGGTCTGCTGGACAGCATCAATGGGCCAATAACACATGTTGGGGTGCTGGTGACACAAACAGACCCTGGTTGGTTTCTTTTTCCTTTTTAATGTCATGAATCGTTGTAATTATATTGTAAACTTTGAAGGCGGAAGCGACCATATGATAAAGACATTAGACTCATTACAAGAACCTTTCTGTCAAAAGCCAATGACAGTAATTCCTCTCCTTCCAGGTGCCTCTGATTTAACAACGTACGTGAGCAAAACGTACCAAGAGTGGAAGAAACAGGCTACTCAAGTATACATGGCTAGAGTTAAAAATTTAACTGAGACCACCGTTACATCACACAGTGAAGAGGGACCTCTGGACATAGAGATAGGAGGCAAAAACAAATGGGGGGCATACTTTAATGGTCCTTTGGAAGCCAATGGAAAATACCAGTAAGATGCAAACAAACGTGAAAACTGCAAATAATATGGTCTAACAACTTCTTTACAATGGGATTGTAAGATTGTCAGAGAATGGGAACAAGTACAAAAACATGTCAGAAAGTAACGTGTGTGTAAATCCCATTACTAATAATGTTCAATGTTCTAATGTTCAATCCTGCAGATATGCTATCGTGTGGTTCACACGTCTGACTCTGGATAACCAGTTGGTGACTGGTAAACTGTTGGCTGCAACAAAGTTTTATAGTGTTGTCCAACTCCCACAGAACCCAGGTACCACCTTTTGACCCTAATGTTTTGCTATTACATGCTCCCATAATGAGAGGAAACCCTAACGGACCTCTTTTTTTTTTGTCAACATTTTAGTTCTCATTAGCATTCCTATTGGAGTGACATTGGGAATTTTTTGCGTTCTCTTGATCATCCTCATCGGCTTTATTATCTACTGGAAAAGGTTTGTCGTCGTCATCAAAGATGAAAAATGACGAGATGATTCGGTGTACGCGACTCAACTCTAAACTCTTTACTTGTGTACTTTAGGTTATCCAACAAAGATTCGCCCGACATCCAGAGTCATTCCTTGAGGTGAGGTTTTCATTTATGTTCAAAGTAAATGCATGACAATTGTTTGAATAAATGTTGCTTATCGTTGCTTTTTCTTCTTTCTTTCTCCAGAGCCAAAGTGTAAGTCTAATCGGGTCTAAATCCATCAAGTTTAAAGCATTTTAACACAAAATGAAAGCCATGAACCTGCTCTGACCTCTGGTTTCCATTTGAGCAGAAGTGTGGCTGTGAGGGTGGAGGAGTTCGAAGCTTACTACAAGAAGCAGAAAGCAGACTCAAGTTGTGGCTTTGCTGAAGAATTTGAGGTAAAACATTAGCCAAATATATATGAAATATATTTAAACGTCATTAGTAAGTGAGAAAATGTCCAATATCTTAAGATATTGATTGAATCAACATTGTAAATGGGAAATCGTAAAACTACAAATGTTTGTGATATCTGCTAATATTAAGTATTAACTTTTTTGATATACTGTACTTGACATGTTATATATAAATATGGGGATAAAGTGAGTTGTCCAAACATCAAGCACATTTTTTCCTTTCTTCTAATAGGACATGAAGCTCATTGGAACAGCTCAGTCAAAAGCACAAGCTCTGACTTTGGAGAACAAACCAAAGAACCGCTATAACAACGTGCTTCCATGTGGGTAACCTTGATGAATCCACTTGCTGCTTTCAACTATAACTTATTGCACTGAATCTACTGTCATTATCACTTTTTTCAATCAATACGGCAATTCTTTCATTTCATTTACCCTCTTTTCTGACCTTGTAAGAATACGTGTTCAAGATTTGGAGCCTGGTCGGGGTTATCAAAAATTCAGCCGAATAACTTCTCTCGTTCTGGAAAATTTATTTGTCAGATCACAGGTCAAGTATCAGCGCTGCGTTTGCAAAGGCAGGAGCAGTTCAGGCAGCACACAGGCCGGAAGAACAACTAACTAACATCAGCAAGAACATCATGTTTTATAACCCTTGAATGACAGAGAAGGAAAGATTTCTATTGGCCCTAAACTGGCGTAGAGGAGGACCTTCCACCTCCCGCATCTAAAGATCCGGTCACATCCAATGTCCAGACTCCTGACTTAACGTAAACATCGTAAACAGAGTGTGTATGTTGAATGGTGTTGGTGTGTCTCTAACCCCCCTTTGGCTGGTAAATCTTCTAGTTGACCCGCAGACCTTACATTCCTCAGCCAGGACAGAAACTGACTCCCCATCCTGTCAGACTCGTGTCTGCCTGCTTGGCAGATCCTGCTTACCCCCTTACCTAACTCTTAAATCAAGACAAGACAGCAAACCCCCAACTAAGCCCATGAAAATAACTTTTGATTATCAACCTCCTAGATGACTCTTCTAGGGTGAAGCTCTCTATATCATCCATGGGAGTCCATATGAGGACTACATCAACGCTAACTACATGCCGGTGCGTACTGACGCTCTTCTGTATAAATAAACTCCCTTCTGAACAACAATGAACTCATTCTTTTGCTCAACGCCCTAATGATATTTCAACTATTGGGAACTATATTCCCCTCCATCCAAAGTAATTTTTTGAAACACTTGAGGAGACTGAACAAGACGGATGTCTGTGTCTTGCTGTTTTATTTGCCAGGGTTACAACTCCACGAAGGAGTACATCGCTGCCCAGAGTCCTTTGCCCGCCACAGTCAACGAGTTCTGGAGGATGATCTGGGAGAAGAACGTACAGACTCTGGTCATGCTGACACGCTGTAATGAACAGGGACGAGTAAGTGGCAGCAGCGTGCGTGCGTGTTTGCGTACGCTGACACACACACTTTATGTCTTCCTTAATGATATCACTAACATTTTATTAAACTTAACATCATCCCAATGCCAAGATGGCACAGGCTTTATGCGCAGGTATCTCTTAAGCCGGATTTATGCTTCTGCGTTTTCAGAGCGACGCAGACTCAAGACCCCCTTGCGTGTGTCGAGACATTTTTCTAGGCTTGAGTCGAAAGCGACGCAGCCTCCCGCAGCGCACCAGGCTGCGATTGGTCCGCTAACTACGTCCTTTACGGAGTCTCACATTTCCGCTTTCATAGCCCGATACCGCCATTATTAACACGAAGAATGTTTACGAGAGAACGGAGCAGATTGAAGAACTTTTGTCGGAAGAAATGCGTAAATATGACCGCGTATACAAGCCGTCATTGGCGGGTTGTGGAAGCGGGTTGGATTCACGGAGGGAGATCGCCGCAGACGCCGGTTTGCCGGTCGAGAGGAACAAAGTTGTGGAGGAAAATACGGGACAAATGTGTCCTTGATGAAAAGCAGCAGTGGCGATGCACGGGGCAATAACGTCTATGATAAATAAATAAACAAATAAATAAATAGACGTGACTCTCTAGGTCGTCTTCAACAAAACACGTCACCATGCTTGTTGTTCTGGCGGTGAATTGCTCTGCAACACACGCAGAACCATGAAGTGAAACGAGTGCGACGACGCAGAAACATGCGCCGACCTTAAATCTCACTTTTTTAAATTGTCGCCTCAGCAAATCTTCCTATTAATTACGCTGCGTAGCGCCACCCACAGGCAGAGGGGAGTATTGAGCCTTCATACCACCAACAGCGCGACGACACACACACAAACACACAAGTTGGCTCTTTTTTTTCCACCAATGAAGTGACAGTATGTAAAAAATGATTTTTTTTCACGGCACACCTGACAGCCTCTCGCGGCACACTGGTTGAAAAACACTGATGTAGAGCATTCATATTCATATAACAATGTTATATTGCACATCTCACACTGTGGTTTCTTAAACAGTTTTAATGGTTTTAGCAAAGTCAATTCATTAAACTTGTCTGAGTACTTGAAGTCTGTTACAACGAGAAAATTGTCTTACTTTTCTAGGTGAAGTGCGAGCAATACTGGGATCACGGCACAAAGCACTTTGACAAAATTACTGTGACAACATCCTCTGAAATTGAACTTGACGACTGGACCATCAGGGACTTTTACGTTAAAAATGTAAGTGAAAGGCTAAATATTAAAAATAAAATATATTTTTAGGATGGTAAATATCAACAGTGAGCGTCAGTACACAACATCATACTAAGTTTAGTTGGAAATACTTTTCCTAGAGCCACGTGAAGGAACATTGTATTATAAAATAAATCATTGCAACCAATTCATTAGAATGTCAAAAGCAGTCAAACACAGCCTGTGTTTGGAATTTTTGATGAAATTCATACACATATTCAAGAGTCATGTGCATAATTTTTCATTTGCAAATATTTGGGATTCGTGTTCCTGTTGTTCCTTCAGGTTAAGACAGCAGAGACCCGTTTAGTGCGTCATTTCCACTTCACGGCGTGGCCGGATCACGGGGTACCACAAACCACAGAGCTCCTCATCAGCTTCATGCACTTGGTCCGAGAGCACATGGACCAGTACTCCAGAAACTCTCCTACTGTGGTCCACTGCAGGTTTGACACACACACACAGACACACACACACACACACACACACACACACACACACACAAACTTTCGCCTTCTGTCCATCTCTCATCCCATCCTTGTCTGTGTGTCTACGTTGTCTACACTCAGTGCTGGTGTGGGACGCACAGGTACCTTCATCACCATCGACCGCTTGATCTTCCAGATCGAAAGGGAAAACCGTGTGGATGTGTACGGCATCGTGCACGACCTGCGCATGCACCGGCCCCTTATGGTGCAGACAGAGGTGGGACACAGTCAAATAGCTTTTGGCTTAAAATGGTCGCATTGCACACGTTGTATGCGAAGACTTTATTAAGTGTGTTGCACCTCAGTGGACTTGTGTATTTGATATCCCTGCAGGACCAGTATGTGTTCTTAAACCAGTGTGCCCTGGACATCATCAGATCAAGAACTGGAAACAATGTGGATCTAATCTACCAAAACAGTGCTGCAATGTCTATTTATGAGAATATAGATCCAAAAACAGATTACCTTCGTGCATAGGCCCAAGAGAACACTCAGTTCTTCTACTTCTCTTTTTACTCTTAACAAAAGAACGTGCAAGAGGAATGCTTTAATGCAATTGCGCTCTATTTATTGTTGTGTACACCTTTTGTTGAGAACCGTGTAGCTTTCTGGATCCAAACCAACATTTTGTGGTATTTATAAATTGTAAATGTAAGATATTTGTCAAAGAAGGGAGCTGGGAATGGAGACGCAACAGGGGGCATAATCACTGACTGATTTTAGGATTAATTATAAACTTTGGTCAAATATAAGATCTCTCTTATAAGTGCAGGTTTTTTATCACTCTTTTTTTTATTCAGCTTGTTTTTGACTTAAAGTTTTCTGCTCAGGTAATAAGTTAAACGCTGTGTAGATATTTTTCAAACCTTGTATGCTTTGGTGCCAGTAGGTGGCACTCACAGTGTTTTGATATTTCCTTGTAACTAAAGTTTTAGGTTTTCCAACATGTATAGTATTGAAGTCTGTCAGATCATGCAGTTAATTATTTTTTATCATGTACGTAAAGCAAATTGGAAATTTACAATGTCTTTTAATGAAGGAGTTCCCTTTACTGTTTGTTGTAGTTGCACTGTAATGAATAATGCACATGGCTGCATTGCTGATTCTATGAACTGTCCACTACAACTATTTTCGTATCGTTGACTACATTCTGGCCGATGCTTTGTGAAACAGTCTTGCTAAGACTAGTAGCAAAACCGCCATTTGCCCAAGATCCAATGGACACTTTGGTCAAATTTATTTTACTTTGATTTTTTTTCTTCCTTTGATTCAAGGTTTGGATCGCAAAAAAAATAAACTCAGGGACTTAAAACAATAGCAGTTGCACATTCTGCTGGTGAGATATGTTGTTGGAAATGACAAACAACAGCTTGTTGCTTTTGTTTTGTTGATGTCCTTCTCTAGAATGTACATTCTTCAAAGAAACAACCATGTCATGTCACTTCTTGCCGCATATCTTGTCTATCTGAGATAAATAGAGACGTCAGACACATTATTTCCTTCCAGCTTCCAAAGGAGCCGAATGTTCCATGAGGCAACTATGCTTTTTATGTAAATAGACTGTAGAGATTTTTGCAATGAATGTTCACTGAAAGCACTTAATGAAAACATGCAAATAGTCACAAAGTTGTGTTTTTTAAATGCTTTATGAGATGCTTGCTGGTACAATGCAAATAAATGTAAAATGAAGATTAAATATTTGTCTGCCCTTGAATCTGCAAAAGTGGGATTATGGATGCATCGTTTTACTAAATAAGGTTTCCTCCCCCTTTAGCAGCACCTTGAAGGTGTTGGTATTGGGTTTGTTGATAGATATTCATATATTATACATTACCCATATTCATTCATGTTCATGCATAACGTCAGAAGTCAGAAGTTAAATTTCTCTCCATCTTCATGTAAGCATCTGGTTACAGACCCTTCTCAGCTAGAATATGGTGATAACATTTACAGATTTGCTTCCCAGTTACTTTGGCTCCAATCGACCCACTTTACCGCTGCTTTGAGATGTGAGCTCAGGCTACAGGACTCACTGCACAAGGTCAAATCTGGTCATTGTCTTCACTTCACTTCACTTAGATAGCAATGTGTTATCTGGTCAAATAAATTTAATTAAAAAGAATAAAATGTACAGGGCCAATGTACTTTGTTATTTTTGATACCCTTGATCTTTCTCAACCTCAAAATGATTAAGCGAAAAAAAAACAGATTATCTTTATTCACCATGTTATGGAATATTTCAATAAAAGCTCGGTAGAAGAGAATGATTTGTCTGATAAAACAGAGTCTTGATGAATGATCAAAGTTGCAAAAAGTCCATTTATTGCTTGCAAGCAGGAGGTCAAATACACAGGCACGTATCACGGTGCTCTGTGGAAATGTCGTCTCCGAGCAGTAAGAACGCTGAGTTTTTATACACATGTGGAGGACATTCTCCGTGCCAGTTACGAGAAGCTGCAAAGCAGGTTGAGATAAGAACCCAGGTGAAGCTGAGGGTAGCACACACACACACACACACAAGATCCTCCTCAGTGGCCGGTGCAAATCATAATTAATTGACATAAAGTAAAACTTGGATCCTGAACTTTCGTACCGAATAAGATATGAACCAAGGCCATGAACAGAAGTCCTTTGTTTTGAAGCTTCTATGAGCTTGAGTTGACCGTCCTCCCTCAGGGCACAGCTGCAAAGCAACATTTTGTATCATCCTGCTCTTTGCACATCAGGGTCAAATACAGGACACTTGAGACACGGCTTTAGCACAAAACAATGTTATAACATATTTTACCATTACAACCATCATCCTTAACATGCTTGTTTATTGTTGGTTTTGATTATCATTCTGTATCTCGCGAATAGTTGACAAACTCCAGATTTCTCCAGTTTGAATTACGTTACCAATTACAGAACATTTCAAGCTTTTAATTTCGGCATGGTGCAATATGGAGGTGTTTTTCAGGGCAATCCTTTTAAAACAGAGGGCATTCCAGGCATGTTGATAAGGTATTGACAGTGTGTTCGCTCAACAAGCCTGATATTTAGAACATTTTTCTCTCTTGTCATCCTTATTTCATGACTTATGATCTAAAAATAGATGTTGCACTTAAATGCCTCTTTCTAGCTTGCTATGCTGTGATGGTTGGCGCCGTCACGTCAGAAATCTAGCCTTCAAATGGAAAATCAGAACAGGACCAAAAAAACCTCACTGATCCAAATGATGTGTTCAAATGCTGATGTGCCAGTAAATTCACCACAATGGATCATACCAGCATCCGATTGAGACAATACAAAAACAGAGGATTTGTGCTCGTTCACGTAGAGGAACACACCACAACAAAGCTATGCAAGGTTCTTGCACCGACCTTCTTAAGAACCGTGAAATTTACAATGTAGCAGAATGAAGACTTTCAGACACTACGCCTTGCAATGCTAGCCCTATTCTCTGCGAACAGCAATGCTTACATGCGTTTTGTCATAGGGAAAATGACCTATATGATGAGTTTTGCTCTTATAGCACTGTAGCAACTGTTTAAGTTGTACTCAAAAACTTTAGGTTATGTATACTTATATATACTATAGTATGTATACTATCCATATATTTTTCAATCTTTAAACATTCACTCCTTTTCAAATATTTCCTCTTATTCCTTATTCATATGTTGTTACATATTTTTCACATGAACAGGATTTTAGATGTGATTTATAATTATGGATTAAACTAAAGTGTGTATAGTAAAAAAAAGCTTCACTTGTAGCTGTTAAAGCGGTACTTATGTGCTAACTCCTAAATAATGATACAGACAAGAAACACACTTGGTTACTTTTAAAATAAATTAATATTATCAGTTTTATTCTGGTCCACCGCCGTTGAACCACGCGGCAGCCAGACACACGCGCCGCAGCCGCAGGAGGAGGACGCGGTCCGCGCCGCACTCTGCCTGTTGAGACTTCTCCTCCCGGCCGACTACCAACCGTCCGCCCGCTGCTTCCCCTCGACCCGGCTACCACCGCCCCCAACCCCCCACCCCCCTCTACGGTCCCTCCCCGTGCTATGACGCTGGGGTGGGAAGGAAGCTCGGACACAACTGGATCGGCGACCCTCCGGTGGACACAGTGAGTTTAACGTTGCGTTTATTTGCCCCCCCGCGGCTGCCGTTACCCCACGCGAAAGTCGATAGACCGGGAGAACTGGATCGTTTTGGCTAACGGTTTCATCCAAATGCCGTGCGGCTGTGTGTGTGTGTGCGCGCGCGCGCTAACGTGTGCTAGCTAGCTGGGCTCGGGTAGCACTAACTGCTCGACGTGGGAGGATTTCCCTTCTTTCTTTTTGAACCGTTCATTTTACTGTCATTTCGCCGCAATATTTGGACGAATTCGGCCCGTTGTCACGGTAACGTCTTCCGCGGGCGTGCGGCGCGCCACCCGCGCGGGTAGCGGCGCATTGTGCCAGCTAAAGGGACACCTCCTCAGACTCTACCTCGACTAAAGACTAACAAATTGTAGCACTTAAATTGTACTTGTAACGTCACTCATCTATAGAAAATTGTAAATTGGCTTATTTGAGGAAATTGCACTTTCTTGTTTCTTGCTCTTCTGAGTTTGTACCCTATGGTTGAATGCACTTATTGTACGTCGCTTTGGATAAAAGCGTCCGCTAAATGACATGTAATGTAATAATGTAATGTAAAGGGAACCCTCACCCCCATGCGGCCGCACGCTGGCTGTCACTCGTTTGCTTGGCAACCGTCAGACGGAGCCGATGTCGAGGGCTGCTGGTGGGCAAGCAATGAGCAAGTAACCCCCCACCCCCTCTTCCCCATCAGGGACTCTCAACAGCTGCTCCAAACTACAACTGAGTTGGTAAACCAGGTAACGTTTGATGTGTCCCCCCCCCCCCCCCCCCCCCCAAACACCCGCCCACACGGGGTCGACCGTAGTATCTCAAAGCTGCGGTGACGCGGTTTCAATGAGCCGCACCGCTTGGTACCGACGTGTAGCGGCACAACGCGAGCTGTGATCGGCGCCGTGAGGCCGGCGGACGTTTACGTGTCAAACACCGGTGTGTTCGGACAGGCCGAGACGTCCTCCGCGTTGTTCTAATCCGGTTTCCGGTGTGACGGCAGAGCTGCGACCCCTCGTCGGCTATCAGCCCCCCCTTATATTAAAAGCACCCAATAGTATTGATGATGCACATTTAAGCAGAAACAGCCTTCATGTCTGTTAGTAGAGATGGTTCGCTCAACGGTCCCGGCGTTCATATCCAATGCTAGGCCGAATATTATGGCAGTACAAATAACACAAGTGGAGCATCATGGCTGTTTGACTTGAACTGAGTCGTCTTTATTGAACGCAGATCCACTTGACCTCTCCTAGGTCACATGTCCATTCAGGGGCATCCTATTGGCTACCGCTTAACACACAATACTGTATATAATGTATAGGAAAGTAAATACAACAGATTGTGACAATGGAGGGCATATACTCATATATGTTAACACCCCCACTTGCTCTCACATTAGTACATACTCTAACAAACAAACAAATAAAAAAAAAACATTAAGGCCCTTCTGCCTTTATCATGCACATTACTTCACATACGTGGTCCAAACATGAACTTTGCAAACTTAGTCAACTTAGACTGTGTAACAGGTTTTGTCATCACA